ATATCATAAAAAGTTGTTAAAAATTTTTTTCATTTAAGAGAACATAAAGTTATTTATAATAGGAAAAATTTCAAAAAAGGTCTCTTGAATATATGAAATCCCAGATTGGGTCCTGGAATTTCCAAAATGACAGAAAAGGTCAGTGACCCAATCTGTCATTTGTAAAATTAAAACCAATTGACAATTTTACCCCTGGTTAAGTAAAAGTGAGTACTTATTCTCTATACAAATCTAGGTAACGCTTACATTATTCTAGTGATTACAAGATTAGTTGTAGTTAATAATAAAGTACCTGACTATGAAAAAGTGAGTAGTTATTCTCTACACGAATCTAGGTAATACTTACATTGTTCTAGTGATTACAAAATTAGTTGTAGTTAATAACAAGACACCTGAATATAAAAAAGTGAGTAGTTATTTGCTATATGAATCTAGGTAATGTCTAAACCCTTCTAATGATTCCTTAAATCATTGTAGTGAATGAATACAAATGAGGGTAAAATTGTCAATTCCTCTTGATTTGCCAAATGACAGATTGGGTCACTGACCCTTTCTGTCATTTTGAAAATTCCAGGACCCAATCTGGGATTTCATATATTCAGGGACCTTTTCTGGAATTTTCCCTTTATAATATGATAATTGTTTTAAAGACATTGTATCATTAAAAATTTTGAAAATGAAAAAACCAATGTGAGGGAGAAGACTGAAGAGGAAGAGGGCAAATTCGGTATTCAGTTTAGTGGACCTGACATTGGACCAAACGCACGAATATATAAGCTATAAGCATTTTTTACCACCTTTTGCTTTTCACATGCTCAGGCGGGTGTTGACAACCATTAATAATACTTTTAAAAAATATTTTTTCATAAAACAAGATAAATTCTTTTATATGTTTATTTATATACTATAAAAGTATTTTTAATCTGGCTTTTGGCCTAAAAGAAAAATAGACTAAGGGTCTGTTTGGATGACATCTAAAGCCATGATTTGAAAGACAAAACCATAGTTTGGATAAAATGCTATCTAAACAGCCTCCAATATTTTGAAACCATGGTTTCAGGTGAAATTATAGTTTTAACCTCTAAAACCATGGTTCCGTGGAAAGCAAAATTTTCTTGCTTTGATGTTGAAGTTTTTGATGTTGGGTTGTCAAAAATTATCTGGACAAAAAATGCCCCTTGACTTGCTCGTGTTGCTGGTGTGGAGGGATGGTCTCCAGTTACTTGTTCCAGACACAGCAAGAGAGTGAGCCTGAAAGAATCATAAAGAGGAAAAGATAATTACTATAATAAGTAATAAATTGTTTTAATGTGTGTTTATTTAATTTTGTCAAAAAATATTATGGTATTTCATATTTATAATCTTTAAAATAAAATAATATTTGTATGTTGGTAAAAAATATTTATTTTTTCCAGAAACATTTTTAATCTTATATTTTATAAATATATATACATATGTTAGTTATTTATTAATTATATTTTCTTATATACTATTAATTATTTTGATAAAAATATATTATTTACAATTTTGTTCCTTCAAATTAAATATACTCCTCCGGTCCTTAATATAGGACCCAATTCTTGAGTTAGTTTTGGTCCTAAATATAAGACCCCTTTCTCATATTTATCAATTTTCTCTAAATTACCCCTGTGGATACTCCCTCAACCATGATCAAGTAAAAAAGAGAGATGGGGTATTAAGAAAGATGATTATGGTATTTTAGGAAAAACATGTCACATTTCTTATAATTAACTAACTTACCTAACTTCCTTAATCTAATCAAATTAGTTAAATGGGTCTTATATTAAGGACCGGAGGAGTATTATAAATTATAAAATCTATATTTTATGTAATTATCATATTAACTTATGCCCTTTTTAGTAATTTATACATATAAAAAGTGCTTCTGATAATAACTATCCAAATACTCTTACTTCTCAGAATCTATTTTTCACAAAACCTATTCTCTCTGGAATCTATTCTCCAGAAGCTATTCTCCAAACCATAATTTGGTTTTATCCAAACACTTCTAAAAAGTCAATCAAACTTCTCCTTCAATATACAAACTGACTTTTTCCACTTACAATTTAACTTTGCTTGTTGGACCGCTGCACCAAACACACACCCATTCTTCGTGTCCTCTTTCTCTACCCAAAAAGAAAAAAACCAAAATAACAATAACAATAATAATCCACATGATAAAGGGAAAATTATCCACAAGAAACTCGAATTCGAAGATATATGAAGGAATTCAATTTTTTTTTTTACAAGTTTGAGTTAAATAACATAATTTGTCCAGTAAATATGGAGTTTGTCCAGATAATATGAATTTTGAGGATCCTTTTGTATTTAATTTTTTTATTTGAGATTTATGGATAATTTTTTTAAATAATGACATGCTTAGTGGAGAGTATGAGGGAAGTTTAACATAGTGAAAAAGGAAATGAAAGAAGAGTTTGGCACTATATGATAGGAAACAAATGTGTTTGTATGGGTTAATTAGAGGTTTTTGTATGTATGATATTTTTTTTGGTTGCCTACCCAATTCACCGAAGTTTTGTTCCGACTACATTTGAATCCGACCCGCATCGCGTACCAGGCCATAGTGGGTAAGTCTTTCAATGGGAATTTCTATATAAGCTGAGGCTCGAACTCGAACCTCCTTAAACGGTATCAAGCAGCTTACCACTTGAACCAACCCCTATTGGTTGTATGTATGATATTGATGGTTAATGAATTATTTCATCACTGACCCGTCCAATTTGGATGGATATAAAAACTTGATCCAGGATGGCTCTATGAAAGCTTGAGAGAGCACCGCACAAAACTAACTAATAAGAGGGGGATTCAGTCCCATGCGACCTTCATCTACAAGAGTCCTAACTTGAGAAGGACAACTATCTAAAAGGGAAGAACAAATTAATTATTAATCCCATCTTCGCTGCTCTGTTTTGCTCTCTGAAAATACAATGCACTTGCAATTGTCACTCAAACTTCATCATGCTTTGAATATGCCAGACCGCCTCCTGTTTTAGCTCTATTTGAGAGAATCATGTCTATTAAATTCTTAGCACCATATTCGAGAGCTGCTAAGCAATGTAACAGTCATAACAGCAGCATAGTCATTGGAAAAAAAGAAAAAGAAAAAATCCCCAAAACAAAATTGTCTGAATATATGAAATATATGAAATTCCAATTTAGAAGGTTAAAGGAAGTGAGGCTTGAACTAGTATTTTCAAAATGTTATGAAATTACCCAGATGCTCTTCCCTGATGAAAGTTATGAAACTTGCCGTTGCCAATTCAAATTTATTATTTTCAATTCACAACTTATTAATTAACTGACTAAAATAATGGAGAAAAAAGTTATGAAACTTGTCATTTTCAATTTAACACGTTATTGCCAGTTTGACCCTTATCATCTTCAATTCTATTAATGTTATTTATGTCATAGAGAGGCACATGAGTAATGTCATAACAATTTTAAAATGTTAGTTCAGGCTTCAATTCTTTTTCTGTTATTTTCAAGTATTTGCCATTTGAATTGAAAATTCGTATATTCAAACTTTTTTTTTCCAGGAATTTTCTCTTGAAAAATACTGAAACAAGTCAATATCACGTCTTGAAGAAAGTGTGTTATTTTTGTCAAAATGTGGTTTCGGCTTGTTTCAAATTTTTGACAAACATGGTCATCCCATTTCAATCTATTTTCCCACTAAATTCCAAACACAGTGATAGTGTTCTTTATTAAAAATTATTTTATTTTTTTAAACTATATTGATTGAAACATGCCAATATTTATTATATTCATATGACTATTAATCAATAACAATGATCTTTTGTTTGTATTTCTAAATAATATTTTTTTCATCACATAATTATTTTTAGTATTTTATTCCATTTTATGTACCAAACAAGTTCTTTATCTACTAAATATTTTAAGAGTAAAATAAAAATGGGAAAATTTTGGAAAACTTATCTTGACTTGCCTGAGTTTTTATTTTTCTCCTCCTTATCCTTTTATTGATCTCTCCCCGTGGAAGGAAAATCAAATTCTAAAGGTTTCAAGATATTTGAGTTTTCTGGTGGGACAAAAAACAAAAGACAGATATTGGAGTCTCTTTTTTTTCTCCCTAAATAGAAACTAAATCATATAAATATTAGTAAAATATCAACAACTTACAAGACAAGAAAACCAAAGATCCATGTTATTCTTTTATCATCCACTATCTTATCATAACAAGAAGATGGTGAATGATGGAAAGTACGAAAAAAAAAAAAGGTCACTCATTATATGTTTTAGCCCAAAAACAATGGCATTATGGTACTACTGTTATTTTCCTGCCATAACAATAAACTAATGTTTACGCATGAATTTAGATTCTTTATATTTAGCAAATAAATAAAACAATAATATCTTCGATCTTTAATATAAGAGTTAGTTAAAAATTCAATTTGATTTTAAATATGAAATTATAATTTATTTTGTCTTCAATATTTATCCATTTTATCCTCAAATAATTTCTATAATGATTGTATATGTTAAGTAGTTTTCATTAAAAGTAGTTTTAATACACATGATTAATATGAATATTTTAAGAAAGACAATATTTATTTATTAAAAAAAAACTAACTTAACTATTCTTTAATTAATTATTTAGTTCTTATATTAATAAACCTGTGTAGTATCTTGTAATAAAGGAAATGTGTTAAAAAAAAAACAACAAGGAGTAGACAAAAAGAGAAGAATTTTATCACCAAAAAAAAAAAAAATTCACCTTGATACCTTTACTCGATTAATAACCAATACCTAATTTTCTGGCCAACAAAGAAAATTAGTTTTGAGATTATGTTTAAATTTGTCTTCACGTCCAGGTCAGAACAGCGCGTGGTCTGATTGGCTGATGCAAGGTGGAGCTGTTTGCGTTTCACACGCAAGTCTTCTAAACGACATCACCAAGGCACGTAAATCGTTCTCAGAGGCGTCGTTGCGGAGCCGAAGAAAGAAGCAACACACTTGAAGCCGCAGTTTTTAAGATCTGGGAGGCAGAGTAGAGCTGCTGAACTGGTCGCCGCCAAAATTTGGGTGCTATAATCTTCAATAGGTAGAAGAGGGGAAAAAAAAAGAAAGAGGGAAATTGATGGAGGAAACGAAGAGGAAAAGCGCGAGGGTGTGTATGCTTTTGATCTGTTTGTTGCTGAGCTTTTTTGGTCGGATTGAATCGTTGTCCGTGACCGTAAACGACGTTGAGTGCGTCTATGAGTATGTGCTCTACGAGGGTGATACGGTTACTGGGAACTTTGTTGTCGTCGATCACGACATTTTCTGGAGCTCCGATCACCCTGGCATCGACTTGACGGTAAGTTCGATGTTAAGTTTTACTTTTGGGTGTTCGCTTCGCTTTTTTGCTTGTTTTCCGTACTTTTTTTATGGAATTATTTGTTGATCTTTGAATAAGTTGTTGGTTTATACTATTTTAATTGGAAACAAAACGTTTTGGCCTCATTTTTGCTCGACTGAAAATTATGAAGATGATTTGCGCACAGGGCCACGAGTCATACGCTTTTGTTTTGATACCTTACGTGGAATAATTGACATTGCTGTTGAGAATAGCAGTTCAAAGGTTCTAATTACTAGGGTATGCTGCTGATGCATAATGAAGGCATGTTAAATCATGGTTTTAGTCCGGGAATTAGGGTTTTTAATTTTGTCAGATGGGTTGTCATGTTTATTTGAAGGACTTAGACCTAACTTGAAATAGAATCCAAATAGATTACCATTTGATCACATCAAAATCCCCCAATTTGAAAATCCTACTTACCTACTGAGACTCTAATTACACTTCTCCGTTCTGCGTCAGTTGCCTAGACGGCTTTTTAGTTGCTAATGAACCCCAAGCGGATGAGAAGGAAGAGAAGTCTGAGAAGGGCAGGGCGAGCTACGTAAATTTTTTTTTTTTAAAAAAAATAAAAAGCCATGGATTCCTTAATTGATCATCAAATCCAATATTTGCTCCAAACTCCTAATTTCCTTGCAATTGCCTCGGCATTCTTGTTTAGATTTTTCAATTATCTCCTTCTTTGCTTTAGCCGTAACGGATTGCAGTTGTGTTTCTAGTACCTTGCTTTCAGCAAATTTTATCGTGGTCAATTCTACCATCATTCGTATCACAGATTTAAAAGAAGGGGTATTCCACCCAAAAAAAAAAAAAAAAACGGAAAACAGAGAAGAGAGGATCATAACGTGATTATTTTTAGATAAATGTTTGATTGTATGGATGTTTATTATTCTGTTAGATGTAACATGAATCATTTTGTGAAAGCATGAGAAAAAGTTTAAGTCCTTACGTTTCTGGGTAAGAAAAAGTTTGAAATCAGGCAAAGGATTTCTCTGTGGCAGTTAGTTAATTGAAGAGCAAAGAACAGCCAAAAATAACAGTAGGGAGTTTGTTAAGCTGTAGAAACCCATATGTGCCGTGGTAATATGGTTTGGGTTGCATCATAAGTCATGAGTGGAAATTTGCAGATGATATTGGAAATCTCTAATGAAATGAAGTTCGTATATTTCAGTCTCAATTAAGATGGTGATCAGTGAATCTATGGCTGTTCCTCCTACTTTTAGAATGAGGTTGTAAGTAGAAAGAAACAACACAATAACATCTTTGATCCATGGCACAGGGGATTCAACAGAGTTTCATTTGGGTTATTGAAGGTCTAACACAACCCTTCTCTTTTATCTGGGCTTGGAAGTTGGAACTGGTAATGAAACATGGGCAGAGCTAGGTTGGAAGTAGAAAATGTGATTGTGAATTCATTTTGATGCATGAAAAACAATCAAGAGAAGAACTTGGCAGATTTTCCTGGGTTAAATCACTTATGCTTGTTGAATCGCTAAAGGATCACCAGACCAGGATGTTTTTAAGAGGGAAATTTATCGTGATCTCATCCAGTGCAAGAAAAAACTTCCCAGACCAAGTCATCATTGGTTGTTTTAAATAGATTTTATCATGTTATGATCACTGGTTTTAAAGTGTTGATGTTTACCGATTGATAAATCGAGTAATAAATTGAGCTCATATGAGCTTGCTTTAAAGAGTTTATAATTATTGTCAACTCATTTCTAAACAATATCCAATTCTAAATATTTGTTTTTGCTAAATTTTTCCTCATCATGCGCTGTTGTTTTGGAGCATTGACTAGATAGTAGACATGTTTTTCCGTGTATTGCACTGACTGCTGAGCATAGGGAATGAGTTGTACTGTTGATGCTTTGTAAATAATACGTCTCACTGTGGATATCTTTTTATTTATATTGATATGCTGATGTTCTCCTAGATTTCATTTGTTTTAGATATATTAGAATTCTGTTAATGTTTGCATAATTATGAATTTTATTCAGCAATTCTTTAGAAAAGAGAAATAAATTTGTAAATTGGTTTTCTCTCAATGTATTATTGTTGACTTTAAATTGGGACTATTTGTTCTCCAAATTTTTTAAAATGAGAAATGCTGAAGGACTTGGAGCAACGTCAAGCTGCAAAATAAAATGTAGAAAGTAATGATAGATGGGGGGGGCGAGGGAGGGATATGCTGTTAACATCTCATGTGAATTGCTCATATTTGAATGGATGGCTTTGGTTTTCTTCACATAAAAAGATTTATTTTCCTGTGCTGTGCATTTTAAGCGTCAATCCACTGTAGAGTATGGTTTTGAGACCATGCTAATGCCTTTTGGTAATCACGGCACAGAAGTTTTTCAGAAAATGATGTGCGCTCACAATGCTATATAGTAGATCAGGAGAAATTGTTGGATTTAGAATGACAACCTATTATTGCTACATATGGTGTGCTTTTCAGTTATCCTGATGTTGTAGTGATCTGCAGGTGACATCTCCTGGAGGTAACATTGTCCACACGATCAAAGGAACCTCTGGCGAAAAGTTTGATTTTAAAGCCCCACGAAGTGGAATGTATAAATTCTGCTTTCATAACCCTCACTCCACACCTGAGACTGTTTCTTTCTACATCCATGTCGGTCATATTCCCACTGAGCATGATCTTGCTAAAAATGGTATGTTCTCTGCATAAGCAGCGTTTATTACTGTAGTCTATCTTATTGACATCTTTAGGTGCATATGGCATGAACTATATAATAAATTTTTCCTACTAATATGGGGTACTGCTTGAAGTATGTGAAGATTGATGTTTATGTATTTATTTTTTGGACCCAGTGAAGGTTGATGTTAGTTGAGTTTCTTCCTCCCTTTTTTTTTTTTTGGGCTTCCTATTGACTCTGGTTGGTAAATTTGCAGAGCACTTGGACCCAATAAATGTTAAAATTGCTGAGCTCAGAGAGGCACTAGAATCTGTTACAGCTGAGCAAAAATACCTTAAAGCACGTGATGCACGACATCGTCATAGTAAGTTGGTTTTCTTTTTCATGAACTGTGACTGGCTCATGTAGAAGTTTGGCTATTGCCCAGCAGTTGTAGCATTTTTCTTGCCATCTGAAATGCATTGATACAATCCATCAATTTCATGATAGTGATGGCTCCTAGACATCAGCCTTGATGTTTGACCCATCTTGACAATGGTGGTAAGTGGTAGCATTAGAAGTTTATATAGGTAGTCCTTTTAAGTTCTATAGTGCTATATGGTAAGGCTAGAGGCGCGTGGGCTCCTAAGTAATTAGTAACATGCTCTCAAAAGTAGCTTTGGTGATATTAAACGTCACACAACCTGGGTTGAGGCTTGTAGACAAAACCAACAGAAGTAATCTTCAAATTCTCTACCCATATGCAGCAAAAGAAGCCTCTAATTCATGTCGTCATTTTAGAGTTTATTTAAGCAATTTGTTCCTTTTAAATCTTGTAAGATCTCTCCAATTGATAGCTGTTAAGTACTGTGTAGGTTCCAGTTACTGCATTGATTTATCAGTTGCCTGATATTGCTGCTTTAGATAACTAGCTTTGACAGCTTGGATAATACTGTCAAAACTCACTGAATTCTTTGGTTACCAAAATTATGGTTTTGATGGTTTTTAAATGTTAAATATTCAATGGCAAGCTGCTCTAGTGGCAGCGTGTGCTGCCGTGTTTAGTTGAGGTCATGGACTCAAGTCCGATATTGAAACGTTTCTGTTTGTGTGCTTACATTGATTGTCATTAAAAAATGTTAAATATTTAAGAACACTGTATGACTGAACTTCCTATTTTACCTATGATGCAGCGAATGAGAGCACCAGGAAGCGCGTCATATTCTACACTGTAGGAGAGTACCTTCTTCTAGCTCTCGTTAGTGCCCTGCAAGTTGTATACATCCGGCGGCTTTTCAGCAAGTCAGTGGCCTATAACCGTGTTTGAATCTCCTCTCTTGTTTTAGCTCAAGGCTTAGGTTTACTCTTGTTCCCCCTTTGTGTAACAATATGACCGTTGGTGAGTATTATTATTATTTTCCTCCTTCTAACTGCGACGTAATTTATATTTACAACTCGGGGAAAAAAGGTGCTTAGATTCCCTTTTTTTTTTTTTTGGAAATTTTCTATTTACAGAGTTCATTTACATTTGTTTGAATATTTTGCAATCTTCATTAAGAGATAAGTATGTTTTCATGCAATAAAGTATATCTCACCAACGGTCGGAGTAAATATAAAATATAAACTCTATCTTTTAGAAATATTAATAAAAGAAATAAAAGGTACTCCTGGAAGAGTTGTTTCTCTTTGTAATGTAACAATTGCTTAAACCTGATTTGGTATTATTGGATATAAAATATTGGTTAAAATATAATTGTAGTTCTTTAAATTTATATAAAGTTTCGATTATATGTTTTAATTTTTTATTTTTAAAATTGTTAAAAAAAACCTGATGATATTAAGATTTTGAATATCAATAAGATATTTTTAAATACTAATCTATTAATTTTAATTTTTAAAATAATCATAATTGCCACAAAAGATATTATTTAAGATTAATGACTTTAAGATTAAAGAACTAAAAATATGTTTTTTAAAGTTGAGAGAACAAATTAATATTTTATATAAAATTAAAAAATCAAATGGATGCTCTTACCTATAATATCTATTGAAAAAATATATAATAAAAAAGGTGCACAAGTCTTGGCCAAAAATAAAGGCAGCACTCAGTGCTTATGGGGTAATAAGGAGTGACATTGATATTACGGATCAAAGGAACTGGAAACAGATTTGGAAACTCAGAGTGCCCGAAAGAACTAGAATATTTATATGGAGGATGATTCATAGGAGGCTAGCCACTAAGGAGATCACAAGTATGTGGAATGGAGGAAATCAGCTCTGTGACTTATGTCAACAGAAAATGGAAACTCTGCTCCATGCACTGAGGGACTGTTCGTATGCCACAGTCACGTGGAGAAGATTATTGCCTTTCGGCAAAAGGGTGGAGTTCCTGGGAGATGAATGGCATGATTGGATACAAAGGAATCTTAGCGACAAAAGCATAAAAGAAGAGGGCATCAGTTGGGCGGAGAAATTTGCAACATGCTGCTGGTTTATATGGAGATGGCGGAACCTACAATTACACGAACAAGACTTCAACTTACCGCGTGAGCCGGAAAAGGAGATCTATAACTATTTGGCTAATTATCACCACAGATGGGAAAAGGAAACCATGGAGGAAATTGTTATGAGAAAGGAACGAATTTCTTGGAAACCCCCTCAGCTAGGATAGGGTAAACTGAACACGGATGGAATGTGCACGGAGGAAGGAAAAGTAGGATGCGGTGGAGCAATAAGGGGAGATGGTGGAGAATGGCTAAAGGGCTTCTCGGTGCAACTAGAAAGATGTGGGGTGATGGAGGCCGAGGCGTGGGGTATCTTGGTAGGACTGAAACTATGCAGAGACATGGGATTCGAGAAAATTGAAGTGGAAAGCGATGCGAAGCAAGTGGTGGACCTGTTAGTGCAGAACAAAGAGCGATGCCGATATATTCATATTTTCCAGGAAATTCAGGAGATGATGCAAGGGGATTGGCAAATCAAAATCAATCATGTCTTTAGAGAAGGAAATCGAGCAGTGGACAAGCTTGCTCACCTTAGTCTACAGATTGAATCACCAAGAATCATCTGGGACACTCCACCGCCTGAAGTACGGAGTATACTCGAGGAAGACTTAGCTGGAACTAAGTTTCCCAGAAGAGTGCTTTCTGTTTGTAATGGTCGCGTAATGTAATGGGCTGGGCCCCTGCTTTTTCACCAAAAACAAATAAAAAATAAAGGCAGCACAAGGAATACATTCCATAAATCTAGAATGCCCAAGTTAGCTAGACAAATCACGTTAAAATTGGAATGATATGCTATTATACTTCACTTTTGTTTAATAGCATGTTATTTTAATAGATGTGAAATATAAAATAATGTTCTAATCATCAATTTATCATTTAAAAATTATAAATTAAAAGCTTTTGTTCTAACGAATTAAATCTCATAGCACATTGGGCATTGTGCTCCACTATTGTTTCATTTGGCATTTGTTATCCAAGTTGTTCCAACTAATGACGAGACTAATGTGAGTATAGCTATTACTGCAAATATAAGAACTTGTTTGAGGGTTGATTTTGATCATAAATATAAAATTTTAATTCATTTTATCTATTATATTTTAAAAATAAAATCTAGCTTAAAACAAAAGAAAAGCTAATAAATTTTAAATTATACTTCCCACCGTCTTAGTTATAGAGAAAAAGTTTTAAAGTGTTACTTAATCCTAACTATGGGGCAAAGATGTGATAGTTAACAAATTTTTCTTATGTTGCACTTATTAATTTGGAACAAATTGTTGGCATGCTTTTAATTCCTAAAAAATATTTTATTGTAATAATTAATTTTACCAAAGGCTAAAATCAAAAGGACACGTTTTTCTACTAATTTAAAGATATCAACTACTACCCTTGTAATAAGAACCAACAACGATTAGCTAGGTCTCGACTTTTAATCAATATGACAATTATATTTTTAAAAAGTTTATTATGAAATAAGTTAAAAACATCGATTCAAACACTTTGCAAATAAGAGAGTTTTAGCTACATATTATAAATTAATGTTAATTGAGCCTCATAATTTACAACTAAAATTTCCATAGTTATAATTTATTCAAGAACTTGATTGTTACAATTAAATTAAAGTTTTAGAACTTAACTGTTATTCTTTTTCCTCAAATAGACAAAGTCTAAATCCTCCAATGAATTTGAGATAGTAGTTTAAGGATGAGTAGTTCAATCAGAGTTAACTTGCAGTCAAACTGGTCTTAATTAAATAAAATAATTTATTTAATATATATGAAATATTGAAATATAACCTTGAAAAGAATTCTTCTTTTTTTGGCAATTCCTTGGTAAATTTTTTTTACTTTTAGTCAAAACCGTATACTTATTTTATTTAGACTTTATTTGCATCATTTTTATTTTATTTTGGATAACTCTTTTTTTAATTTTTTTCTATATTTTTATTCCATCCCCTTAAATAATTTTTAAATTAAAATCCATTACTTCATAAGCAAATAAAATATTTATGCATAAATCACACATAACCTATTAAAACATCATCATTCAAGCACAAATTTGACAAAATATTATTTTTTGAAAAAAAATTATAATAAAAAAATAAAATAAAATTCAATTCGGTTGTCCAAAAATTTTAATTAGACTAGTGAAACGGGCTAAATCCAATTGGGTTTTAATATCATGTCTTCAGTAGCTTACCTATTCCTGAACCCATGTGCCACTAAAGTTGGTGGGGTGTGGATCCCATGGAATGATTGGAATTTAAATTATTTAAGGTGAAATTTGGATTTAATAATACAGCTGACTTTAGGATCGAATTATTTTATCATCGAGACAGCACAGCGCCACATGTCCGGCTCAAATTATTTTCTTGCGCTGGTTTAAAAAAGAGAGGCTATTTTGTTACAGTTCATGTGAATGCTCGGATGGAAATGCTATTGGAAGTTGGTAGACGAAAATGAGAGCTCAGCGTCTCAGTTTTGGGCATATTCTATGACCCTTTTCCTTTCCATGCCTCATTGACTCGTTGGAGCTTCTTCTTCTTCTTCTTCTCAGCTTTGAAGCATAGGAAATGGACGAGACTCGAGTGCAAGTCCCACGAGTGAGACTAGGTAGTCAAGGCTTAGAGGTAAGTTCCCTTCTGTTATCTTTATCCACGATCGTCCATATTGTGTTGTTGTTTTGGTCGAATCGGTTTATTGCTTCGCACATCTTTTCTTTTCTTATTCGCTTCAGTTTAATAAGAGGAAATAGTTCTGTTTCAGTAAGCATTGAGGTCATCAGAGTCTGATAATGTCAAGCAATTACAGAGAATTCCATCTTATCCAAAGATTCTGAATATGATCTTGCTACAAGTAATCTCAACTCAAAAGAGGTTTATGTAGAGGAAACAAATATAAATCCAAAAACACTTGCGCAAGTAGATAGACTAACCGTAAGTTCTGTCAGAGTTTTTGTAATTTTAGTGAAGTTTCTCTTGTCATATAATCCTCTCAGAACACTCAGAACACCATATGGCATTACAGCTATCACAGTGAAAGATAATACACCTATAATCATAAAGTTACCCTGACCAGTAAGTTCATTAATCAACCACCCTTTTGATCACCGGAAAAAAAAAAAAAATTCACTAACTGGTTAACTCCACTATATGGTAAAATTCAAAGGCAATATTATCACATTGCTTCGTCTAAATAGAAAGGGAATCTCTCTCCCTTTAAGTTTGCGTTGGTCTTGGTTGACCAAAGTAATGTGAGAGTAATTTTGCTCGAAAGTTGCAAAAGTCCGTCTCCAACAGTTCCAAACATGGGAACCAAAAGGGGCTTAGTATTCTGCTATATGACCTCTTGTAAAAAGTCAATAACAAATCAAGTGCTTCTTTTTTGTATCATATAATGAAATGCAGGTCTCCAGGCTGGGTTTTGGGTGTGGGGGACTATCAGGAATTTACAATGCCCCTCTCTCACACGAAGCTGGATGTTCTGTTATCAAGGAAGTATTCAACAGGGGTATAACCTTTTTTGATACATCTGATCTTTATGGAGATCGACATGATAACGAAATCATGGTTGGCAAGGTATTGCACATTCTGCCTAACTATTCTTAACATGTTTTCAATCTTAAATGCACTGAATTGATACGAGAGAATATGCCCATATGACTCTCCAAAGAAAATATTTAATTTTGCGAACAGCTTGGGAACATTGATGACCACAAGAACAACATAGGAAGGAAGATTACAGTGCATAATATAATTTTAGAAGTGGCATAGAAATAGAAAACTAGCTTTGAATGTAATTTCAGTTATATCTGAGAATGGTTTACACTGATGTCAATGCAAATTTCTCTTGTCCTATTACTGATGCTTTTTCATCATATAACAGGCTTTAAAAGAACTCCCTCGAGAAAAAGTCCAATTGGCCACTAAATTTGGTATTATTATGTCTGATGGGATGCAATTCAGTGTAAAAGGTACCCCTGAGTATGTAAGGGAGTGCTGTGAAGCTAGTCTTAAGCGACTTGATGTCAGTTATATTGATTTATACTATCAGCATCGAATTGACACTTCTGTGCCAATTGAGGACACTGTGAGTCTTAGATGCATTTCTTCTGTTATGCGTAATACATAACCTTTTCACTATTTCTAAGCTGTGGGTGTTTGTGTGGTACACTGATCTGAACAAGGAAGGTAGGGGAGCTTAAAAAGTTGGTAAATGAAGGAAAGATTAGATATATTGGGTTGTCAGAGGCTAATGCTGATACTATAAGGAGAGCACATGCTGTTCATCCTATCACTGCTTTACAAATGGAGTATTCTTTGTGGTCCCGTGACATTGAAGACGAGATAATTCCACTTTGCAGGTTTTTAGAGTTTAGATTTATTACTTTTATCTTACTTGGTTTCTTATCTGACTCTCATAGGTACTGTTTGAAGTTACAAAATATCTGAATGAAACTAGTTACGGTAAATTGCATTAACCTCCTTCGAAGTTTTATAAACATACATCATAATAATGGATAGGCTGACTGGTAACTGGTAAGGAACTCAACACCTCTTGAGCAAGGTTCAGGGTTCTAATCTTGTGGATTGAAAAAATCACATTGGAAGAGTTGCCCCCTATTTGGACATGACAATGCTCAAATTGATTTGGCAGTAACGAATACCAGATTCGACTTTCGCTTATATGGGACCTCCCTTCTATTAAGATAATCATTAGTCGAGCTAACTCTATATGCACTTTAACTCCTTGAATGCTCCTCCCAATAGCCTTATTCAGTGTGGCATAAATGGTTAAACTAATAAACTGATCTGTTGACTGTTATGGCTATTTAGTTTTAGGTTCCTTTATCTTAATAATTGCACAACTCAGTCATTTAAGATCACAAATTCATAATTCTGTGAGCCTTTTTTCAACATGAAATGACTAACACGAGTTATAAATTCTAGGGATCCCAGAAGGACTAACATGGAATGAGTTGTTTTTTTCAGAGACTAACTCTTTCACTCTTCTGTTATTTTAGGCTAAGACTAAATGGATCTAGAAATTGAGGAATCTAATTATTAGGCTATTCCAGCACCAATCATCAAAAGGCCAAGTTAATACTTATGAAAAGTTAAAATAAGAGGCTACAGAAATATTATATCATCTAGTCAAATCTTTAGTTATCTTGAATTTTTTTAACTTGCAGAGAACTAGGAATTGGAATAGTGGCATATAGCCCTCTTGGTAGAGGCTTTTTTGCAGGGAAAGCAGTGGAGGAAAGTTTACCTAGTCAAAGTTTACTGGTACACTCCCAGTTTTAAATTTGCATGAATTTTCACTTGTAAGACAATACCACAAGTGGGAAATGCCTATAAGAATAACTATAGTTATATACGTGGATTCCTCCAGGGGGTTGGCTTTTGAGATGTGGCATTTTTTTCTTCTTTGTAATAGGCAATTCATCCAAGGTTCAGTGGAGAAAATTTGGAAAAGAACAAGCTCTATTACAAGCGACTTTCTGACTTGGCTTCTAAACATGCATGCACTCCTGCTCAGTTAGCTCTCGCATGGCTTCTTCATCAGGGGAATGATATAATTCCCATCCCAGGTAGTATCACATGCACACTTAATAGAATACATCACTGTTTCCAATAAAGAAAAGAGGTTAATTATTGGTTAGATCTAAACCTCACTTAATCATGAAGTACTCTGTATCTGAATTTCTATGATTAGGTGGTCAACCTGAGTTTTCACCTAAAGAGTAAAGTAGTATTTGAATTTTATACAGTGTCAGAGTATCTAACCAAGCAGTCAATTTAATCCTCTCCAGTTTCCACCACCACTCTGTATGCAAAATATAGTGAGCTCGTGTTATGCCCATGTTTCCTTCTCAAAAGGCATCCACTTGGTGGGGCATATTAAACACATCAATAGAACCAATGATGCTCTTCAATCTATACATTTGGGGGACAATGATCTTTACAGTTATTATTTAGTTGAGGAGGGAGTGTTTGATTTCCACATATTCCTAGATATTTTGACCTCTTTTTCATCAGTTCATCGGCTTATCTGGACGCGGCCTAATGAGAATTTCAGGACGTATAGTACCTATAATAATCCTTATGATAGAGTTTTTTGTAAATCCGAGATGTATCATTTCTGTTGATTAAGTGGTACATGATGAAATATTGCTTTGGTACAACAATAGGGACAACTAAAGTCAAGAACCTTGAGAACAACATCGGAGCTCTGACAGTTAAGCTTACAGATGAAGATGTGAGGGAAATTTCTGATGTGATTCCTGCTCATGAATTTGCTGGCGAACGAGAATATGGCATGTTCTCAAAATATATGTGGAAGTTTGCAACTACCCCTCCAAAGTAACTGCAAGAAGATGAATCGAACCTTTCTTTTCCTTGTACAATCCTAAGAAAATGAATTGTGGCTGTTCTAGTTGATATTTGGTGAAGTTTTTCACTTCTTCAAAGAGAAACCTTGCATGCCTATATGTGTAAACTCATGCGCATGCGCATGTAAACTGGTTGTAATATAACTTATGCCTGAATGATATATATTGCGTGTATAAGCATTTTATATCATTCTTACTTTAAGTGAGTATTGCCCCTCATGCCTGTCGTCTTTAACTGGAAGTTTTCTTCGTTTGGCTGATGACTTATCAGATTTAAACTGAGAGATGAAGTGTTCGGTAGCAATAGTGAGAAAAGAACTTGTCTTTCGTAAGTAGTGGTCTTTATGGAGCCTGCATTATTAGAAATGGCTTTGTAGTCTAATGACAAATGTTTCCTTAGAAGTGGGGGGTCGCAGGAATTTTAGGTCGGTAAAATCTCTACTTCTCTAATTCAACCGAAAGAGAAAAAAAAGGAATAAGGATGCTGTGTCTGAGAATGAGGCTCTCATGAATGGTGGAGCTTGAGCGGAAGCAAGGAGGTTGGCAGTTTTGGAAAATCAGAAATTGTGCACTGAATTGAACACCTATACTTTCAATTCAAAATCTGGAACTAATTTATAATCAGTTTTCCAAATAAAGGTTTCAGAAAGTTAGAGAATAATAATTATATGTAACACATAATTATATTGTAGTGTTACATCTTGATGATCACTTTTAAGTTTTAACCTCTTCAGTTTCCTATGCATGTGAATATCTTAATATAGTTGTGTCGATGTATATATAATATAAAACTCTAATAAAGCAAAACTTTTAAGTTTAAACATTTGGGGACAATGGTCATAAATTGAAGATAAGGCTATTTAAAGGGTAAAGCCTAACATTTGATCAAAGAACAAAAAATTGAACTAGACACTAAATTGGTTGAGGTAGTGGTTCAAAGGTCAATTGTTTGGACTGGAGTTAACTCAGAGTCAAAGCGGTCATATTAAAATAATAAAATACAACAACATTAATAATCATTAATAACAAAATATAAGGAAATATAACAATAGCTTGATTGTAACAATAACAAAATATAATGACATTGAGAATTTGGATCTTTACCATTCATCAATAAATAAAATTAATAATCATTGATACTAAAACTATCATTAAAATTCATTCAAATTTATAGTGAGTAAGATATTAGAAGTTGAATGAGAAAAAAGAGATACCAACAACAACATAATTATTTAAATTGGTTTGTCACCATTTTTTTATTGGTTTTCACTGGTTCACACTAGTTTGACCATTTTGATATTGGTTGAACTATTGATTGGTAAACCAAACCAGTTCATTCGTTTTCCTATTGCACTGACCGGTTCAATCTGATTTTTTGTTCCCTGTGTTTGACAATCTCTCTCATTTGATAAGGACAGGTTTTTTGTTTTTTCTTGTTGTCAGTTGAAGACACTTCAGGTTTAAGAAGTAGGACTAATCTCATGTGCCTTGAAGAAGAAAGGGCAGATTGGTTTGCTTCGAAGACTATTTTGAAGATATATACTGCTTGAAGGCACACCAACAATGAATTTGGACCTCCATGAGGAAGAAAGCAAGAAAGAGATGAAGCAGTTCAAAACAAGAATTTTTAATCACCTTTTGATGTGACAATCAAATTCTGAAGACCTGAAATCTCCATTGATTATAATTTGAAATTTTGAAGCTTTGAATTGAAATAATCTTTAACATGGTATCAATCATCAAGGTCTGTATAATTTAACGTCTAGAATTCCATCTCATCACATCCCTTCAGTTAAATAAATTTAATACTAAATTATGTAATTCTTTTTAAATTCTGTTGTGTGTGTATATATAGTCACGAGTTTCCTTTAAAATAAAAATTAAATTATATCTTATTTTAGCGGCAAATATTTTGAATAATACACTCTGGATTTATCCCTTTTTTCAGATATTTTAGTCAAAATTCCAAATATGATTACAACATATATTTTCAAAATTAAAAAAAGAGCATGTAATCCAAGCATAAACCTTTTTTTGGGAAAAAAAAAAAGTGCAGTCTATTGGGAATTCAAATTTCAAGAATATAGTATGGTGACCAGGCTCTAAAAGAATTGTTTGTGGGGATCTCGCAGTTGATGAAAGACATTTATCTTGTTTACACAAAATAATGATTTATTGTGAAATACTGAAATGTATCTTTCAAGCTATGCCTAACTTTCTTCCTTTGGGCTAATATGCCTACCCTTTTTTGCCCCCCTCAAATGCGTAAGAATGGTGACAGGCGCACAATCAGGAGAAGGGAGCGTCAAGCAGGCCGGGGACTTTGTTCTTTTCAACTTCTCAAATTGCAATTTAGACGTATAAACTCACGAATTTACGTTTTAAGAAAAATTTGGGCCAGACTGTAAGAAGATACACCAATTGAATTAAGAATTTAGAAATCTTGATCCAATAAGATATAAGGAGGATGTTGTTTGTTCACGATTCTATGGTTCGAGCCACGTTTTATCATAGGAAGCAATAAAATAGCTTGGGTGTGTCAATCGTGAAAGATTGAAACTTTAAAGAGTTACTTTGGTGGGGAAGAAGAACTCAGAAAAGGTAAAGGATAAAAAAATAGAGTTCAGGGATTGTTTGACCATAACCATGATATACTCGATCACACATGAAGACTATTTTATTAAACTCACAGGGGGCTCCTTCTACTTCACTTGTACTATTAGGCATTCCATGTGATGTGAGCATTCATTTTAAACTTTAAAATTAAAATCTCTTGCCCTTCTTTTAAATACCAACCGGTTTCCAAAACTCCCATTAGGCCCCAACTTATTTGGATTAATTGCGCTAATAGACCATTAATAAAAACTATGCCACTCATCTTCTCATTGACATTGGATAAAAAAAGGAAGACCATTTGAATAAAATTCAACTGTAGAGGTTCGATGTATCCAATTCTTGGACATTCCTTTCCGTAAAAGATGGTTTAGGCCGAATGCATTTTTTGCGCAGAACAATTAAAGCAGTTTCGTTTTAAAGTAAAATTAAAGTACAACTAGCATCCACAAAATTTTTGCAAATACATTCAACATCTTAAAATATTTTGTGATACCTTCAGCACTTTAAAATAATTTTTCAAATGCACCCAGCACCTTAAAATGTTTTTTAATACTTCCAACACCCTAAAATATTTTCTTTTTTAAAGTTTGTCCAACATTTTAAAATATTTTTTGGTACCTGCAACACCAAGATCAAAAAATATTTTATGATGCTAAATGCACCTAAAAAATATTTCAAATACTGGATACACTACAAAATAGTTTAAGGTGCTTTATACTCAAGAAAATACTTTAAGGAACTAAATACACCTCAACCCTTTAAAGTAAGATTTGGTTGATGACTTAATGTAACGGTAGATAAGCTACATCAATTTATTCTTAGTAAAACAAAATATACATATTGAACTGCGAGTTGACATCGATGTTAAAAAGTATGGAGGGAAACCTTTCACCAAATATGATCGAATTTCAGGCAAATTAGATTATACATTTTCAAAACAAAAAGAATATACATACAAGGCATAAATTATACAATTATACAAATAATAAAAGCATCGTCCTTCTTTTTGTTTTTGCCAGCACTTAAAAACATCGTCGTACTCCAATTATCGTGGTAAATATAAATAAAATGCCTCCACTTATCTAGAGGCTAGTGGACCGCCTGAGGACGCTCCAAAGTCTGCAGCCATAGGAGAACCACGTTGCCAGTTTTGGCCATGTGGGGGCATGCGGATTCCAATTTTCCGGGGCAACAGCACCGTCCAACAAGGCAGAAAAAACATGGCATGAGAAATTTATACTGTCAAATTAGCTTCGCTTATAGAATTTAAACTGAAGAAAAGAGGAGATTTTAAGAGTTGGATAATATTTTTAAAATGAAAAAGAATATATCATATCTTCGCTCCTTATAATTTCGTTCAACTCTCAATTTGAACCCTGTCCAATTTTATGTGCAATCAATGCACGGGTCAGAACCATAGTGTCTCATGAAGAGTACCAAATGTAAGTGAGATACATTTAAAACCGAAGGGGAAAAAACTGTAGTACCACTTACTCCAAGGAGAGAATATTAATAATTCATGCATTATAAATCATAAATGAATTAAGAAAATATGAATCTTTCAATTAAGGATCATACCTCCAATTATCTAGAAGCTTATGGAACACCCTAGTCTCCACCAAACTCAGGTAACTCAAAAGTCCTCAAAGCTCCAACTTGGTCTGCAACCATTATAAACCACAGATTCACCGAGCGGCACCTTCTGGTCCATAAGAGAGCCACGTCTCTTGCTTTTGCCATGTGTGGACAAGCGCACCCACGTGAACCAATTAACTTTAGGACCCCAATTCCTCATGACGTGGAACCAAAATATCCACCACAATACTTGCGTCTTCTTTTCTATATAAGCACGCTCACTTCCTCCTTCAATTACAATAGGTTGATAACAAGAAACTAGCCATACAGTTAGTGCAAAGATATTCAACTGCAAAATTTTCATTCACATTCCAGTAAGCAATGGCTGCCTCATATGCTATTCAATCTCTCTTGGCGAGCCCTGTGACTCGCCTTTCAAACAGGTCCAGCGTGAACCAGCTTGGCGTTCCAGCAGCATACATGCCAACCCTGCGCAGGAATGTCAGTCTCAGAGTTAGATCTATGGCTGAGGTAATTGCTTTGCATCTATTCTTATATCCTTATGAACATGAACACACACTGGTGTGATGCAAGATCTAGCATTGACAAGGAGAATCTAATGGGATAATATTCTAGCTGAAGTGATTAACCAAGCACATGTCTTGTGAAAATGGGTCACATCATTTTGACTGTTTCTGTTAATTGCAGGAAGAGACGAAAGGGGAGAAAAGAAGCCCTGCTACATCAGGGAAGTCGGAGCCCCAGCCATTTTCTTCTCCCTCACCCAAGAAAGTAAGCCACCAAGCCCTGTGTAAATAAGTTTACTCTTTAATCCTTGAGAAACTTTTTTGGTCCCGGTTACTTTACTATCCTTGTCGAAGAAGGGCGAAAAGAATGAACTTAAATATTCGGGAAAATATATTTTAACCCCAAATCTTCCTTAGGGTTCAGCAAACCATATGCATGTTGGTTCTAGAAATTCATGGAAATCGCTCATGAATTTTTTTATATTACGAAGTACGCATGCGTAAGACGACAAATTTGGATATAGTCATATAGATATTTTTTTTTCGAGTGAATCATTATATAGATATTAACGGAAAAGATACAAGATGAAACTGGCGGATGCACATGAAATTTATTACTTCCTTAATGAGTGTCACTGGTACTTTATAATTAAGTTCTGATATAAGAAGATTGAAGTTAACTCATCACCGTGAATGGAAGCAGGTGAGCACAAAATTCTCAGACGTTTTGGCATTCAGTGGACCAGCACCGGAGAGGATCAACGGGAGATTGGCGATGATAGGGTTTGTGGCGGCAATGGCGGTGGAGGTAGCGAAAGGGCAAGACGTGTTCGCGCAGATCGCCGACGGAGGAATCCCGTGGTTCTTGGGGACAAGCATCATCTTATCGCTTGCATCGCTGATTCCATTGTTCAAAGGAGTGAGCGTAGAATCAAAGTCTCAATCATTCATGTCTTCTGATGCAGAGCTCTGGAACGGCAGATTCGCGATGCTGGGATTAGTCGCACTAGCTCTCACTGAATTTGTCAAAGGAGGAACCCTAGTGTGATTTTAGTTTACTTGCTTTGTAACTATAACAATTATTACAATTAATGTTTTTTTTTCCCGCCAAGTATCTATTAAATGAAATGTTGAAGATGTGAGAATCTTCTTTGACCATACCCTTTGCATATTTGCTCGACAAAAATGAAGGAAAAAATTGCTGTTTGTAAAGTATACTTAGTCATGCTTTTGAACTGGTTAAATTAAATATGTACAATTTTTACTCAATTAATATACGTGGGGGGAAAATGTAAGAATTTCAGTTGAACAATGTTTTCTTTAATGAAACTATTTGTTCAGATCAATAATCTGGCGAAACATGTCACCTCAATAAGTTTAATCTGATATGTTTTTTTATTTGTTATTTTTTTTAAAAAAATCAAATGCCCATCCTTCCCTGTTTCTCTCTTTTCGACCGTAAGCTTTCTCTTCGTCTCTTTTCTCGAGCTCTCTCTCTCACTTTTTCTTCTTTACTGTGTTTTTCTGCTCCTCTTCTTTCATTTTCACTCATCTTGCCTCCCTTCCCTACGTCTACGTCTCCGAGAAATTCTTACATGCTTCAAGAGCACCACATCATTTATGCTGCGACAAATCAGAATTTACCACATCAATAAATTTAATCCGACGTGGAAGCTTATCTGTTATTTTTTCAACCTCTCTCTCCTCCGCCACTTTTTTCTCTTCATTTTTTTAGAAATCCTCTCTCCTTGTTAATCTCTTTCCCTCCTCAAACTGCATCCCTACTGACCAAATGCAGAGTGGCGTCCTTTCCTCCTTTTGCCCAACAGAAAATAAAAATACCAAACAACGCATAAACTTCAGGCTATAGATTTAGGTTGAAGAAGATCAATTCTTCCCTCATGTTTAGCTCTGAAATGGGAACCAACGAGATTTAAGAACATGAAAGAGAGGAAAAGATGTTAAAAGTTGAAAGAGGAAGACATTGATGTACAAGAATGAGCGAATGAAGGAAGGGTCGGAATCTGCCAAGTGAAGAGAAGCATACTCCAGGGAGTCAATGACGGCGGGGATCGGAGGAGGTAGGGCTGGGGGAAATGACGGTGGGAGGAGTTGGAGGGCGAAGACGTAGAGGTAGGGAAGGGAGGCAAGATGAGAGAGGATGAAGGAAGAGGAGCAGAAAAACAATTTGTTCAGAGCAATAATCTTTGTAAATACCAGAGCGCGTTCCAGAAATTACCCACTAAAGAAAAATTTTAATAGTTTTCAGTTTACCAACCATGATCGAAATGGCGACGGTGAGCAGTCGACTTTTTTCAAAGCATCAATATGCAATTAAAGGTTATTTAATAACTATGAAATCAATATTTATGACAGATAAATAATGATAAAAAAAAAATATTATAACATGATGTCATATTCTTTTGGTGTATGAGCCTGCCTAGTTGTTTTATTGCACAAAATTTGCTGGTACGAAATGGACCTGGCTTCTCTCCACTGACGAGGTCCCTCCGCTGCCCTCTACCCAAAACACTACCGTTTTGGACGCAAAATGAGGGGAGCTGATTGCTTTTTTTTTTTTTTTTTTTGTATTTTGAAGTTTTTTTTAGTAGCTCCCTTTTTTTTGTATTTTTGTTTTTTTAAAGCCAGGTCACTAAAAGAATATTTTATAATACTGAATGCAACAAAAAATTATTTTAGGATATTTGATGCTTATGAAAAAAATATTTTAAGATGCTAAATGTATCAAAAAATATTTTAGAGTATTAAGTGTACCACAAATTATTATGAAACATTAGGTGCTACCAAAAAAATATTTTAGATGCTGCTAAAAAAAAACTTCAAAATACAAAAAAAAAAAAAAAAAAGGCAATCAGCTCCCATCATTTTGCACCCAAAACGGCAGTGTTTTGGGTAGAGGAGGGACGTTGTCAGCAGAGAGAAGCAGGTCCGAAATATGTTACTAGTCAGAAATTAAAGATAGCTGTTGTACCAAAAAAAAAATTTAAAGGAAAGTGAGCAAATCATTACCGAAGAAGTAAAACCACTGAAAAAGATAAATAGTTCATTTTGATGCTTTAAATCTGTTTTTATTGAAGAAAATTACAAAATTAAAAATTTGACCAAAAGCAAAATAGAAGACAATACATTGATCAAATTCTTTATAATTATTATATCAAGTTTCCAAATCACATTATATTTTTCACATAAATTTAGGATTAAAACATATAAAAATAAGGCACATAACAAATTGTGCTTAAAGAACTTAACCTACGTTTTTTCTAAAAAAAAAAAATTTATTACCTAAAAAAGAATTTAAAAAAATTGCAGAACCCTTTCCAACAAAACACTCGTGCACGCATAAGGATCCATGATGGCCCGATTTTGCATTTTATGATATTTCTCCTTTTACCACCCAGAAGGGGAGGAAACGCTATTCTACTTCCATGGCCTCTTTGTGAATACATTTTTTTTTCCTGGAGAGGGAAGGGGCCTTTGTGGCAATTTTATTTCTTATTCCTCCGAGGGTGGGGATTTTTGTACCATTACTTCTTAATTATTCTGGCCTCCCCAACCCCAACCGGAAAAAAAAAAAAAAATTTAACGTCTTTCTAAAGCGCAGGACGACCACATTCCTGAAATTATGCAATTTGAAAAATGTGCCACGTTGGATACGACTGCAACGTAAGCATCACCATCACTTATTGATCACATGAATATATCGTGTCTAATAAAATGAAAGAACCTCTACACTCACAAATTTATGAACAGAAAAGAATGAGAACATCACCCTCACGATTTCCCAACTACTTGTTATGTACAGATAGATAATCCACAAGAAAAACTAACTCGTGATATTATGGCGAGCTGGCTATGGATCAGGCTGGTATGCTGGCCTCTCAACATCCCCGTTTGGAAGTGTGCTTACCTCCACTCCATTCTCATGTTCCTGAAACAAGTCAATTTTGCCATTTCAGCTCAATGATCACATCTGGCTATGAACTCAACTCTGATCAGTCGCGTCGTTCATGAGATGATCGCGATTTTAATGTCTAGCATGTTTTTGCTATATCTCTAGATCAAGTCTAGACGTTGCATCTATAAGTCTAGATGTTGCATTTTGTAAAATAAAAACATATATGATTTCAACCAAAAACAAAAAACAAATGACTTGTCAAAGCGTTCAAATAATCCATCCTAACTGTCCATTTGATTATCAAATCTCTACTCTATTCATAAAATCTAATTGATTATCACACCGTTGGATAGGTTGCATTAGACATTCAGGTTCCTAGATAAACTGAGAGCAACGTGGACCACGACCCTCGGAAATATTGAACCCAGTGCATGGGAAGAAAGAGTGAGGAGTGAAAACCAATCAAGTGGGTCTCATCTACTCCCCATCCCCACCATATGCCATATTTAGGAATCATGATCCTCTACAGTAATGTGATATGCATGCAAAAGACAAGATAATATAGAAGAGAGGAGGTGCGTATAGAGTCTGCTTATTCTCTTTTTCATCCATCCTAATTTTTTCTCGATTTCCCTCTAAAAGCACGGAACTCTTACTAATTTCCCTTTTATACGCCACACAGGTATAGTTACAAAAAGAATGCTTTGAGAGATAATATATCAATAACCAGATCAAATGCTGAAGCCATGTGAACATTCTAAAGAGAGAAGCCATTCTTTCACTAGACATGTGTATCTAATAGAAATTTGGATACGTACTTCTGCAGGAAGATCAACTGGAAACAAATTGATGGCTGCTGCGTTGAATGTGAATCCACTGAAGACACAATTAATTGCTCAAATCAGTTACACGTACATAAAAGGTAAAAAAATAATAATAAAAATTAAACAGATGGGTAGGAAGGAAATGGAAAAACTTATAATCAGGAACATAGTCTCTTTGTGAGTATCTATATCCCTCATCGGAGGATCAGTGAACCCCTCACGAAGATTGATCATAGAAGCAGAAAGAAGTTAGGTTCCCATGCAAGCGTATAAATCCAATTACACCAACTTTCAAACTACAGGAGAAGTAAATAAATTCAAAATATCTCAAGAATATGCAGATAAGAAGTGGAACAAATCATACCATCGGGATAAGACTAGCTGCCAAACGTATGGCATAAAAAATTCCTCCGGATGACTCTCTTGTTCATATGTGAAGCGCAGCTGAGTAAACATCTGTCAAACACATACGACATGCTTCATGTAAACCGAGGAAGCAATGCTCCTTGTGATAATTCTCATTACATGTAAGCACAAATTAGACAAATCTTTTTCATTGTACCTTCATCCCCTCGCCACGCCAAGATCGACAATTGACAATTATCACCTGAAGCACTTCGTTGACTGACCAGTCACCATCCCCTCTTTGAGCATCCATACGACTATTGAAAAAATCTAACACCTGTAATTTTCATGTTGATTACATTATTCAAACACTGAAACCGTGGTGTATTATGCAAAGAGAAGTACCACGAACGCAACAGAAGAGAAGTGAATCTTTCTCCAGCAAGAGTTCCAAGCTTTAAAAAAGGAGGTAGGTACGATGAAGATTCAATAAAATATATGAAACATACAGTATAAATGTTATCAAGCAGCTCATTGAAGCGTGGATGATTCTTAAATGGCTGAAAAACTTCCTGCCTGTGCATTATTGCATATACTACCTGCCCCATTCAAATATGAAAAAAGCATCTACATGTAAATATAAAGGAACCAAATCAAAATAGATGGGATAAAATCAACAATCAATCAAATCATACCTCAGGGTTCCGAGGCAGGGCATAACTCAGGATAGCATTTATAATTTCAAGTACAAGCCTCAAGAAGTCAGTATAAATTTGCAATTCAGTTGACTGCATTGAAAGAAATACGATTTAGCAAAAGGGATATTAAGTTTATAATAATTAGAACCACAAAAAGCACAAAGACCAAAGCTTATACCACATCCTCTCTGAGGCCATTTCCTTCAACCGAGTTGCCATTTCCAATATGAAGTTTATTATGTCTGAGATCTGCTAATTTGTTGTACCTAATGAGAAGGCAATGATATGATCACAGTTATGCCGGAAAAAAATAGAAGGTACTCACAAATATATAGATATAAACATGGAGATAGTAAAGGACAAGAAATAGAAGTGACGTACTTGCGTGATAGCATATCAAAAAGTCCAACTAGTCTCTGTGATGC